TATATTCTGATAATTGTCCCCACAATGGACAGTGTGAATATAATATATCTATAATTTAAATTAGTGTTTAATTAATTATTATATCCAGCAAAGCAACTTTCTCTTTTGTCCTTAGACCAAATGATCGCTACTTTTGATTTCCTAATAATAAAAGTTGATAGAACCCACAACTACTACGCCCTTTCTTCTTCTTCTTCTTCTTCTCTTTTTTTTTTTAAAGCTTTTCTTGTACTTTTGATATTCTACAACTTTTTCTCTATATAATAATTCGTTTATTGACATTTTATGATTTAGTAGATTGGGTTCGATGAGCAAATAATTTGAAATAATGTCACTCGTTTAACACATTTGTAAAAAGTTACATAAGAATTTTAAGTTTATCTCGTTTTTATGCTTGCTTGCCTCAAATGAATAATATTTTAACTTTCATCTATGGTCTTAGTTTTCGATGAAATCTTATTTGAATCACTAACTTAATGTGTTTCACTTTGATCACTGAAATTCAATTTAATTTCAATTAGGTCATTAATTTTGACCGTAGTTTCAAACTGCCATCTTCCAAATTGATGAAAATTTCTTAATTGTGAGGAATACCAACTTAAGTTTTCGACTTGCACCGAGTGAAATATCAACGACTTTATAAAAGAATAAACATGCCTTTAAACCTTGCATCTAAAGACAATGTGATAGCCTTCATTTTACTAAAATACTCTCTCATGTCAACCTATGGAGTATGTGAGTATGCCCTTATTTGATTCAGCTAAAAAAGATTAAAAATATAGTCAAAATTAAATATTAATTTTAACAATATATTTTATGAGATTCACAATTTTTCAACCACACATTTTATCAATAAAGATTTTTAATCTAAACCAAATATGGATATAGAAAAAAGGTAGTTTCGATATGATTTTCAACTAAACAATCTCCATCAATTTTGGAAGAAAGATGACAGTATCTGATAGGGTGGTAAAATTTGAAATTAAATTTAAGTTCATTGACCAAATTGAGACAAAATAAAGTTAATGACCAAATCAAAATTTTGTTAAAACTTCAATGGCCACAGATGAAATTTACTCCTTTTTCCCATCTCCAAAAGGGGTGAAATAAGTTGGACATTATTTTAATAATTAATTTATTGGACGTGCAGCAAGAAACATGCAAGTAATGTCCACATTATAACGTGTTTCCTCCAAACAGTGGAAAAGATAAGACTGAAAACGTAAAAGTAATACATTGAAAATCCCAAAAGATGATGCTTTACCGCAGGCAATGCTCCCCCATTCTCGAGATACCTTGACGTATATGATAGTACGATTTACCTGATTGAAGTGATTTGCAGATTATTACATCAACTCAAACGCGTACTCGAAGAGTAACGGTTACGAATTTTCCTGTCATAAAAAAAGTTGACGTATTATGATATTTGTACAAAGTGTATTTACAAATTTGATCAACAAAAAAGATGTTGACAAAATCGTGATCATTGATTTTCAATGATTTAAAATTTTATTTTTGAAATGATTGGTGTAGATATTACTTTGTCGACCAACTTTGTACGTATAACATAACTCTAAGTTGACAGAGGAGAAATTGTGAAAAACTTTGCAAATGAATTTTTCTTCTATACGATTTGAAGTAAATTAAAATCAATAATTTATTTTAATTATAAAATTTATAGGATCTACAATTTTTCAATAACATATTCCATTAACTTTTATTAAAATTTACTAAACATAAAATTTTAATTCTCACACACAGGAGCTTCGCCTAATTTATGTACCTATAGCTCGATCGAGATAAACATATGAAAAAGTTCGATAACAACTTACGCAATATATAAAAATAAATATGCATAGAAATTTCATTTTAAACTCCGTTAAACCATCTCCAATGAGGAACACCAAATTTGGTATAACCTCTCCAAATTTTATTTTAAAATGTTTAATTACAAATTATATTATTCCAAAATGTCATTAAATTAAAAATTATGTTTAATGAACTAAAATATTGCATTTATTAATAAATTGAAAAAAAATTGTTATACATATTACCCCAATTACAAAAATTACATTGAACGCACAAGAAAAATTTTAATTTATTGTTGAAATAATTATTAGTTATTAATTGATAAGAATTTAAAAATAAATATTAAATAAAAATAATCATCACATTAAAGCAATTATAAATCAATAAAAATCTATTAATTCTAAAATATAAACGAGGGATATAGATGAATAAACATTTGTTGTAAAGTGGAAAGAAGGGCAAATTGGGGTTATTGAAAATTCTCAAATTTTGTGTAAATTACATCAAATTTTACACTATATTTAAGACTTGGTGTAATAATATATTTGGAGTCTCATTAGAGAGGATTTTACACCAAATTACATCAAATTTAGCCTTCATTGGAGATGTCCTACCACCAATCTTTCATATGTAGCATAAAAGAAAATGGTAAAATTGAACATTCACGTTGAAAGGGAAGGTTTATATAATTTTTAAAACAAGATGGAGCGTCTTGTAATTTTTATAAACCTTCGTTCGAAAAAAATTTATAAACAATTTAATTTGTAAATAGATATAAATATGTAATAAAATAAGTGAATAATATTTTAGAGTTTATTAAAATACGTGATAAAAAATAAAAATTATATCATTTATAAATTAAGAGAAAATGAGTTGCCATGTTTGTCTTGTTATGACTGCAATTAATTGCAGTTACTTTACAGTTTACAGTCTCTTTCCTTGCGTTCTTTTATGCTCCCATCCCATTTGGCCATGTCCCAACGGTTCTATTATTTTACATTTCCATTTTCTTTATATAAATTTTCGCTCTTAGAAATAATTATTGTTAAACATGAGCTTAGTTTATATAATGATTGATCAAATTATATTTTAGCTTTGTTAGCTAAAATTGAGAATCATATTAGAAATTTTAATCTTAAGACTCATAATCATTTAAATTTTAACTAAAATTGAATCGTGCAGAACATTTTAGTTCACCTCTAGTCATTGAAATATCTAGATCTACATGCCGAATCCCATCACCAACTTTTTTATGGAAAAATTGTGTTCGAGTTGGTTTTGAAAAATGTCCACCCCTAAATAATTTGGGTGAATATACAATAACGCTATTTTTATTAGTTCTACATTTTATTTATGCTAAAGATTCCCAATATTGCTCATTATAGTATTTACATTCATGAATTTTATCGATTCATTCTTGTCATCAAGAGTGGTCGGATCCAAGATTGAAGGTCAGTTAGAACGGATGTTAACATAAGTATAGCGAGGTTAATACTTAATTAAATAATGTTAAAAATCCTTCAATCTATTAAAAAATAAACTAAAATGAAAGTCAACTAAGACAATTGTATTTTCTCTCTTTCCCCTTCTTATTCAACTGCATTTGTCTTTTCCCTTCTAGAGGCTATACAGTAATGATCTCCTAAGTACCGTGCATAGCACATCAATTAGTTGGTAAATTATTAAATTTATGGACTTATCGTTGACTTATTCATCAATAAATGATGTGTCATGTCACGATACCTAACATAAGTTAAAAATTGATGCTTAGGAGATCATATATCAGAGAAAGAGAGGCGACATGACTTTTAATTATGAGACGAGATTGATGAAATCAGAAAGTCAATTCCACATAAATTTGAGGAACTTAAGTATTTTGCTTCCTTGTGTTTCAAGCACAAAAACCATTATTAAGCATTTCAATTTAAATGTATTTAACTGGTAAAGCTCAATGGTTATAAAGAAAAGAGAAACACCTTTTCTTCCAGTTTGTTGGAGCCAAAAACAGAGAGCGGAGAGGTAGGCGTTGAGGCTTGCCAAAGCAGCAACAATCACAAGGAAAGGGGCAAAGGGCTAGCAGGGCGGCCTTGGAAGGAGATCCAGGTCCGCAAAATGAATTGATTTGGAAATTGGAATGGTTGATTAATTGTTATTTGGTGGCCGATGGGTAAATGCCTATATAGTAATGGATTTGAATCATTTGTTAATTGGGAGAGGCGCGTGTGCTGGTTTCGCCACTAGTCATTAACATTCTATTAATAATAACTTTCATCCAAAAATTCTATTGGGATGACATAAAATGACTTATGTCCTTATCATATTTAAAAAAAAAAAAAAAAGGTATGATAAAGTATTTTCCTTATTTTCAAATTACGCAAATAGTTTATTTTGATAGAATAACAACGACAAGATGTGTTATTTTACAGACGTTTGAAAAAAGAAATCATATTTTCGTAATTATAAAGTACAAGATCAGAATACTTTGATGGGATTTATCATCAAGTATATGCTAATTAATGGAAAGTTAAAATAGGAATTCCATGAAAAAAAATTAAAAAAAATTAGACATATAAGCATTACAATGAATAAAGATTGAAGACCTTAAAATCAATTAAACCTATATTTTATTAATGTTTATAAATTAAACTATCTTTATTCATACATTTCAAAAGACCAAAGCAAATTCGATTTTATTTATTTATATTTTAAATAATATACAATCACTTTCCCAAACATAAAAATAAACTTATGGTGTGTATAATTTAGAGTTAATTGTTCTAATTGTCACTGAACTTGGGTTTATGTCTTTGATTTGTCATTGAAATTTAAAATGTCGAATTTTGATCATTGAAATTAGTTGCATATCTTTGATTGCTCATTATAGTTTAAAATGTCAAATTTTAGTCACTGAACATTGTAAAATGGACTTTAGTCATTAGTATAAATGTTGAACTTTGAAAAATGTCGAGTTTACAGTGAATAATGTACAATATTTTTCAAAGTTCAGTGACCAAAACTCGACATTTTAAATTTTAGTGAGCAATGGAAGACGTTGATCTAAATTCAGTAACCAAAACTCGATATTTTAAACCTCAATGACCAATCAAATATATGAACCTAAGTTCAGTGACCATTGGAACAATTAATTCTATAATTTACCCGTAAAATAGTGCTAGATTCATTAATTACCATCAAATATACCATTATTGTCCCATGAGTTACACCACCTTCACCGCCCACTAACGCTCTACCTTACTCCTCTGTAACAGTTTCTCTCCCTCTGCAAACCTACCCACTGTAACCACAACAATGGCGACAAAACCAAACCCAATACACTCTACACTCCTCCTTCTCCTTCTCTTCCTCCACCGCTGTACTCCTTCCTCCGCCGCTTCGAACCCAGATATCGAACCTCTTCTACTCTTCAAATCCGCTGCCGACCCGTCAAACACCGTTCTCACGTCCTGGAACTCCACCTCTGATCCATGCATTGCTTCATGGATTGGAGTTTCTTGCATTCACAACAGGGTTTCTCGTGTAGTCCTCGAAAATCTGAACCTCCGAGGACAGGGACTATTAAACCCACTTACTTCGTTAACCCAACTACGGGTCCTTAGTTTGAAACAGAACAGCTTTTTTGGTCCCATCCCGGTGATTTCGAATTTAACCAGTTTGAAACTGCTGTTCCTTTCTCACAACGAGTTTTCTGGGGAGTTTCCAGTTTCAGTGGCTTCTCTTTCGAAGATTTACCGGCTTGATCTGTCGTATAACAATCTCTCCGGAAATATTCCTTTGAGCTTGAATCACTTGACGCATCTGCTTACTTTGAGGTTAGAGGAAAATGGATTTTCGGGTTTCATTTCGGGTTTGAGCTTGCCTAGTTTGCAGGATTTCAATGTTTCGGGTAATGCACTAGCCGGTGAGATACCCACTTCGCTTTCGGGTTTTCCTGCGTCGGCATTTGCTAAAAACTCGGTTCTATGTGGGGTTCCGCTGGAGAAATGTAAGGTAATTTCTAGCAAACCGACCCGACCCGGGGCAATGGCGTCGCCGTTGAGTCCGAGAAGTACTGTTGCCTCGTCGCCCAGCTCAATACCTGTTGAAGCTAAGCCGTTGGTTAAATCGGGAAACAATCGGCATTCCAAGATTAGTTCAGTGGCAGTAATCGCCATTATCCTCGGCGATGTTTTGGTCCTCGGCATGGTTTCCTTACTCCTATACTGTTTCTTTTGGAAGAACTACTCGAAGAAGATGTCGGAAAAGAGCGGGTCGTCTCACGTCGAGAAAATAGTATATTCTTCAAGCCCATATCCGCATCCGATTAACGGGGCTCAGTCGGGTTATGAAAGAGGTAAAATGGTGTTTTTCGAAGGGGAACAGAAGTTTGAGTTGGAGGATTTGTTGCGGGCCTCCGCTGAGATGTTGGGCAAAGGGGGATTTGGGACTGCATATAAGGCTGTTTTGGATGATGGGAATGTGGTGGCAGTGAAAAGATTGAAGGATTTGAGTGTGAATGGGAAGAAAGAGTTCGAGCAGCAAATGGAGATTCTGGGAAGATTAAGGCACCCAAATCTGGTTAGCTTAAAAGCCTATTATTTTGCTAGGGATGAGAAGCTGTTGGTCTATGATTACATGCCTAATGGCAATTTGTTCTGGCTTCTTCATGGTAAGCATTTTTGACAGATGGTATATGCATCATTTTTATCTTTTTCGATATTTCAGGTTGATTTTTCAGTGACGGTGGTAATATTTTTGTCTGCAAATAGTATGTTTCACATGGGGTTTAGAATTATTCATCTACTTTCTAAGATAACATTACATTATAAATTGAAAATTTTAGACCATCAATGCCTTGTTAGGTATTAGTATTAGAGACGATGTGACATGGTTAAGGATGGAATGCATGTGGTATAATTTGTTGAGTTCGTCGCCCGTGACGTCCCCTTTTTACTGTTTCATCCTAGTCTTTAGCAGTAGCTATTGAGGAAGATCCATGAGATTGTTAGTTGAAGTGCAGTTAGAGTATGAGGAGCAGGTGTTAATGAATCATGGGAAGATGAAAGACATTTCTCTTTGGGAACTGATAAGAAAATTTCATCGATTCAGATATTGTGTGCTGGTAGCTGTTTTCATGATTTCATTGTCAGAAGCAAG